GGAGAAGAAGAAGAAGAAGAAGAAGAAGAAGAAGAAGAAGAAGAAGAAGAAGAAGAAGAAGAAGAAGAAGAAGAAGAAGAAGAAGAAGAAGAAGAAAGCAGGCTGGGCAAGCCCTGGAAGCAAGCTAGTAAGCAGCATCCCTCCAGGGCCTCTGCATCAGCTCCTGCCTCCAGATTCTGCCCTGACTCCCCTTCACGGTGGACTGTAAACTGAAATAAACCCTTTCCTCCCTAAGCTGCTTTGGGGGCTGTTGTTTTATCACAGCAATAGAAACTTTAACTAAGACCATGGCTCCAACCTGTGCCTGGTGCGGTGACCTCAGTGTGTTACAATCAGACCTCCTGTCTCTTCGCCAGGAGACAAAAGGCACAACCAACCAGCAACCCATTTTCTCGCACAGTTCTAGGATTCAGAGAACCTGTGTTCTCTGGCCTGGCCTCTTTCTTTGTGTGCCCTTTTGAAAAATGGAAAAGTGCTTGAAGTCTGGAGAGCCACTTCCAAGTGAACTGCCTCTGAACCCTTAAGACTCTTTTTTTCCCCCTTGGTTAAATCTCAGTGGAGCCAGGGTCGGTCATAATTTTCATGAACACAAGCTAAAGGTTTCTGTCGCCTATTGAGCAAAGTAGCTGCTTCCTATTGCAAAAGAACCGATTCCTAGTCTCATTGCGTTGGCGTTTTTCATTAAAATTTCCATTATCCTCTTCCTCCCAAATGCTGTTGTAGATAAATTGACCCTATTTCGCAGGCAGAATCACTCCTAATTCAAAATATGTGGCTGGGGCATAGAAGGAAAGCTGAGCTTCTCCAAACACAGATCAGCTTGGTAAGGGGAGAAAACGGCTCTTGTCCTGGCCTCCATAATCACAATCAGTATCATTACATTCACTGGCCACACCAGGACCATACAAAGAATTCTAAATCAAAACAGTCTCGGAGGTGAGGTAGAGGGGAGATTTTTTTTGGTCTGGTCACCTCGCTTTGAGGACCCAGACTTGACTCCAAAACCTTCGAGGTCTGGGCAGCCTGTGTAGCTGGAGACACTCTGTTCTGGCCGTGGTCAGGACACTGGAGGGTAGTTTCACAGGATGGTGATGCCATGTGCTAGGTGACCCGGGCCAAAAATCTATGCCTTCTGAGCCTCTGTTTTCCTATCCAGAAAACCAATGCTAATCCAATGCCATTGATACCCTGCTCATCCTCTCCTTGGAGGGTAGCAACCAAGTAAATGTTCTTGAAAGTATACTTTGTCCACTGAAAAGCTATTGTGACCTATGAATAGTGGGCTGTCAAAGGTCACAAGCAAAATAAACTGTATAGCGAAATAAAATTGTTGTGCCAATCAGCCACTTCTGGTACAACCAAAGTCCATTCTCCTGTCTTGGTTTCTCTCCTCTTCTCTGTTCCCCTTGTCTCCTGAATAAATTCGGGAAAGGAAGCAGTATGCCCTTCCCTTCCTGCTACCGTACCCACCATCTTTAAACAATCACTCTGAGCCACACACTATCACCCGGGTGCATTCTCATGGTCCTTGAAATGAATCTTTTGTCCCTGTCACATAGACAAAATCTGAAGCTCAGAGGAGCATGGTGTGTATCGTGCCACTGGCAAGTGGAAGATTACCACATTTGCCTGGTCCCCGAGTCTGTGTTCTTAACCACCACAGGGGAATGACCAAACTCGCTCTCCCTTGAAAGAGAGGCATCTCTGAAAGCAGAAGTTCTTGGAAGCCCAACCTCTCCTGCTCCCAAACCCAGCTCAGGCTTCCACTTTACCTTACTCGGGAAGCAAAGCCCTGCTGCAATCTTTGTCAGAATAATATTCCAGCTAGTCTCCTTCAGGTGTGAGTATTTAGTGTCTGTCACACATCAGGCATAAACCCCATGTCTGTTTATGTATAAATCTATCAAATCCTTGTGACAAACTATGAGGTGGTATTATTCTAAAGATGACAGAGCTGAGACTGGGGAGTTGCCTTTATGGTTAAGAGCACTTGCTATTCTTTCAGAGGACAGGGTTGGTTCCCAGATTCCACATAGTGGCTCCCAGACACCTCTAACTCCATCCAGTTCCAGGGACTCCGATGCCCTCCTCTGGCCTCTGCAGGTACCAAAAACATGCATAGGATACATATACATGCATGCAGGCAAAACCACTAATGCACATAAAATAAAATTTAAAAAAAATCTAAATAAAGGGTGACATAAATGAGTTGTAGAAAAGTTAAGAAACTAACTGGGCGGTGGTGGCGCACGCCTTTAATACCAGCACTTGGGAGGCAGAGGCAGGCGGATCTCTGTCAGTTCAAGGGCAGCCTAGTCTTCAGAGCAAGTTCCAGGACAGCTAGGACAACAAAGAGAAGCCCTGTCTCAAAACAACAACAAAACTAAAAAAATAAATAGAAAGAAAGAAAGAAAAGGTAAGAAACTTGTGTAGGTAATATGACTGCTAAGTGGTGGGTTCGAATCCAACCAGAGCCTGGATGACTATATTCTCTATACAATAAAAGTGTTTGAGAGAATGCACAATAAATTATTAACAGTTATTTATGAGAAATCAGATTTGGTAAGAAATACAGAGGGAAAAACATTTTACTTCATCCACATTTAAACAATCTTAAGCTTTTTACAGTGTACAGATACTTCTCTGATTAAAAAACACATACATGCTGAAATGTCTTTTGCCCTCATTAGAGTTTGGGTATTCATTAGACATTGATTATTTATAGTGGTGAGATGGGACGTTTTAATGGGGATGCCCAGGGTAGCCATGTTATAGCGAAGCTAGGGGCTGTCCATCAAGCCCGCCCAGTTCCTCTTTGTGGAAGACCCTTGCCCCTCCCCTCAGCACACAGCCAGCAGAAAGGCAGAGAAGGGGGCTTTGGGGCCGTATTATACGGATTTATACCCATTCAGAGGCAGAGGGCAAGTAGGCGAATGTAAATTTTGGCAGCTGCTTTTGTGGGCACCGACCTCATGGGACTCGTTCAAGCTGGGACCTCACCCTGGGAGTGATTTCCCCACATCCGCTCTAATTTATTGACAAGACTCGTTTCTGTCCCCATGCTGAAGGGATTGCTGGGCACAGTTTTAAACAATGCAGCACCCCAGTCTAAGACACAAACTGAATCATCATTTCCTCACACCACCAGCTGTGCCCAGGGTCATATTTTTCCCTCTGTCCTCTCGCCGTTTTGAAGATGCTGGCGGTACAAATTGTCTCCAGACGTTTCCCTTTGTCCGTTTGTCAGCCCCAAACAAAGTCGATTCCCTGTTTCCCTGGCCTTAACCTAGCCAAGGAGCTGACAGTTCAGGGTTTTGTGCCATAGACACCGTGTCACAGGCAAGATTTGTTCTAGACAGACAATTCCGAATGTGTGTGTGTGTGTGTGTGTGTGTGTGTGTGTGTGTGTGTGTGTGTGTGATTATCACACATTTAAATACATAGAGACACATGTATACTATGTATGTATATACACATATATGTATGTCACATTTCCTTACTTTCTCAAATATTAGGAAATAAAATAGACCCATCTTTTTACATTGGAATGGGCTAATGAAGAATATTATCATCATTATTTATTTTCAGGAAATTTTAAAGTACACTTAGGTACAGCTGTCTATCTGTCCAGGTTAAGCTGGTCATCGGGCTGCTTCTCCAGCTGTCAAGAGCTAGGAGTTCTTCTGTAAATGACCTTGTCTGATAAAGCCAAACCCCATTCATTACCTCCCTAGACTCTCATGGATTTGAGCGCATCACAGTGAGAAGCGCCAGGCCACATACTCTCTGCTGGAGACTTCTGGGTACAGGGCACACTGCTAAGAGCATCTATCAATGAACTGCCAGTACCTACAACACTTTACAAGCTTCCTTAGTTACCACAGCCAGTTCGAGGTGGGGAAGAAGGACGCTAACCTTCGTGCCATGAGGAGTCTGCAAACACAACCCTACAAAAACACACGCTTCTGGCTTCTCCCTAGAATCCCAGATCTATCTCCTCTCCACCACCCTACATGGGACACCAAGACTCTGCTCATGTCATCCCGCTCCTTCTGCCTGGGAACAAGTTACCTTTGCTACTGCACACTGCTTTCTGTGAGACGATAAACCACTGTCTTTCCCACATCCCTTCCCCTCCACATCCTCTATAAAATTAATCATGTCGCTCTCCACCCATTGTTCTTGATGCAAAGGTTTATTACAGTCCCTGTGACACTTCATTTCGGCTATGTCTCCCTTTACTACTAAGGAATGAGCTCTTCCCAGGCTCAACTGTATCCATTTTTCATCTTCCCATAGCCTAGATTCCTTGACAGCCAGTAGGTGCTCGGCAAATATTTCTCACCTGCAAGGATGGTTGGACTGAGGGGTTCACTGAAGCAAGCCTTCTAGAACTTAAATAAATAAACACACACCATTTCTACTGTGATGTGTACTTGCTGTATTTGTTGAGAACATAGTCAATTCTGCTCAAGAAAACAAGCAAAAATAGATGAAATTCATAAGACGTGTAAAATACAAGTAATGAGTAAGCAGCTCATGAGTCAAAGAAAATTCACAAAGCAGTAATGAAAAGGAAGTTAGTATGAATTGCTGTTCATAGAAAGAGTGAGGAACCAAGAGTCAGCAGATATTCATAAACCCGAAGCTCAGTGGTCATGAGATTGTCAGTGGGCCACTCATTAGTGTTGCCCCTTCCGATAGTATATGCCTGCTTGCCCAAGAAATCTAACCTAAAGCCATGGCTGCTCATCAGGCTAACTGGAAAACCAGAGCTGTTGATCAGCGAACTTACCCTGATGTTTCTCTGGTAAAGCAAACCATTGTGAATCCTTGTTACTCAGCCTTCACCTCTCACCTAGGTAACTCACCTTCCATGATGATGCATGTATATTAGGAAAGAGAATCCCAAAACCTGTATGTGAGAATCGGAGGGTTCGGTTCCTCCACCCCACTCACATTGGGTCTGTGTCCTCCCTCATGTGTCCCTTCTGGCTTCTCACTGTGTCTTTCAAATTAATTTGAAGGGCTCCATGTAACCGTAGTACAGCACCAGGCCTTGGGTTTGACCAACAACACTGAAAAAGAAGAAATAGATGAACGAAACATTTTCAGCATGTTACTTTGGTCTGAGCCTCTCTTTATGTGACCTGTGGGTCAGCTTGCTTGCTGGTGTGTTTATAGACTGCTTCTTCCTCAAGGAAGTCTTCCAAGGACAAACACATCTCCTATAAACATCACTTCTAGTCACTGGATCCCGTCTTTCTTAGCAAGCCAAATTTTCCGTGTATCCTCCCTGCCGGACTAAGGTATTGCTCCTCCAGTCACTGTAAGAAAGGGGAAACTTAAGTTAGAGACCTTTCTGTCCGGAACTCACAGTTGGAAGAGGGTGTCAGAGCTGGAGTTACAGGCAATTGTGAGGCACCACATGGGTGCTGGGAACCAAACTTGGGTCCTCTGTAAAAGCAGCCATCTTACCAGCCCCATACACTAACCAGTCCAAATATATAACTCAAACTAGAGTTGTGGATTAGTTTGTGTGCAAAACATTCATGAGAACCCTTCAGGGAAAAATTGTCCAGCTAAAATTCTTCATTAACCAATGCAAATGGGAGATACTTTGAATCTTTTCTCTAAAGATAAGTGTTTTTATTTTTATTTTTCAGTGTTCAGGCATCAAGAGCCCACTTGCAGAAGTCCACCTTGTACCTTATCTAGCTAATTTGAATTCTATGCCCATGGACCAATAAAGACTTATCTCACTGAGTGGGGAATTGGCTGAGTGTGTTCCTAGCATGTGATATTATTTCTGACTTCCATTCGTGTTTACTGGCCATCAACAGTGTTATGAGTCCTGTCTATCACGGCTAGCTTCATATCAAATTCATGTATAAAAATGCTCTCTCTTGAGTCACATTGAAATTTTATTCATACAGAGTTCCAAGAGTGTTCCCTTCTTTGGACAAGATCTATGTCAAATAAATCATTTTCCTAATTCTATCAGTGGTTCCTTTAAAGACAAATTTGTTGGACATCCCACATTGACTGTGCCTGTAAAAGTTTGAAAGCTCATCACAGAGACCTGCTGGTTCACTAAGAGAGAAAGACAGAGGGAGAAAGGAGAAGAAGAACAGAAGAAAGAAGAGAGGTAGAGAGAGGGAGGAGAGGGGGAGACAAGCCTCCACTGATCTTGTGTATTGCATTCACTTCCATCTTCTAATAATGGGTTGATATTCCATCTCACTCGAACAGCACCATGGCATCTACATCTTGGAGGATGTGTAATGCTAGAAAAATTGCCTTATGGGGCCTTGGGGACTACTTGCTGGTGTCTGCAACCCTGTAAAGTTGATCATTGGCAATGCATAACAGAGTCAGGGCTCCATTTAATTTTATGTTGTGTCAGGGAAACAAATAGCATTTCCATCCTCGACTCTTCGGCGGGTCTGAAATGTGAGGATCATACACTGTCTCCACTTGGAAGCCTTCTCCTTTGGTCTCGTGATAGGCTGCTTACAAGTAGATTAAAATTCCTGTAGCTCAGAAGGTCTGTAGCGCTGAGCTCCCTGCCTGTGGCCAGCAGGATCCCCAGAGGCGCTGGCTCTCCCACAGACCACAAGATAGTAGAAGATAAAAGGACAAGCCAGCTTGATGGACAAGCCAGAGTGTGTTTGGTACCTGCTCACCAAGAGTAGGTACCAAAGTCAGAACCCTCTGGACCTCTGAATTCCACCAGCACTCGATCCTGAGACCCATATGGTATCCCCTGGCCTTGCTTTCTACCCAGCTCCTTCCAATACACGATTCTCTTCTTGGAGCCTCTCACTTTAACCTTAGAAACCAGGCATCCAGGAGCCACAGAGCAAGAGAGGAGCCATGATGAGTAGCCAAGATGGGGAGACCTCACAGGGGCTGGAGCTGAGAGTGAAACACACATGGTACGGCAGCATGGGGGGGGGGGGGGGGTGTCTGCTGTGATAAGGTTTGAATGGAGGTGGGAGAGAGTAGGGGAGGAGGGAAGATGTGGGAACCCCTTGGTTATTCATTCCCTGTATCGAATGTTCTGTCTATGGTATAACTTGTACAACCTCCTTCTGAATCTCCAATTCGGGTTCTAGAAAAGGTCATTTTTGAGTGACCAACCTCAAGTGCCCAACCTGAAGGGCATCCCCCTGGGATCATGCCTGCCTCCCACACTATCTCCTACTTCCTCTGGGATTTTCACGAGCGTTGGGAATTTATGGTTAAGTTTTGTTTTGTTTTTTACTTTGTTTACATAGAGGCTGCCATGGCTTCTGGGAAGTGAGTTAGGCCTCAGATCATCCCTGCTCCGAGGGAGTGTGGGGATGGGAATAGATGAGCAAGGGTGGGCTCCCCCTCTGTTCCCTCCCACAAGGCAAGAAGGTCCTTCCTGGTCTTTTCTGAAAGGGACCCTGTTTTTATTCTCCAAGCCCAGGAAGGGGAGTGAATAGGGGCCCCACTTTCTACCAGTTATTTAGAAAACTGTGACTTCTTATTTTACATTGAGCTAGAAAAGAAAGAAAAATAAAATAAAATAAAAATAAATAAAAAGCCAGCCCTCTACCAGGGAGTTCTGGGTACTCCTAGATCTTTCGAGAGTTTTCCTTTTTCTGTCTTTTGAAGTAGTTCTCCCACACCCTCCCCAGACACTGGCATCTCTTGTCCAATCATGCTCACAGAATACAGCTTGAAATACTTTCATGTTAAATTATATATTTCAAAAAAAAAAAAGTTTTGCTCTCACCTCTCCCAGGGTATTTCATTTTGACAAAGATCCAGGGCTTAAATGAAAAGAGTTCATCTCTCACTGCTGGGTTTCAGCCCCAGATACAGGAGGTGCCATCGGGTCCTCCCTCCGTCTGGAGTCACACGCGTCAAGGGTGACTTGAGAAAAGGGCTTGGCCTATTACTCATGATTTCTTGTATCTGCTGTGATGTTTCTGGCATGTGGTCACTTATATTCCCTGCTTTTCTAAAGAAATCATCCAACCTAATCTCTCAGGCAGTGACTAAAGTCTTTCTAGAACATTCCTGATTTGTGTTTCATCAATAGCTCATAAATTACCAAAGAATTACCATCTTGCTAGCCAGGACAATTCATTGATAGACATCCCTAAAAAGTAGTAAGTATTTTTCATCTGTTTTCTTACTGTTCTTTAGTTCTGTTCTTGAAGCCTCATGGGCTAAATCTGTTCTCTGCTGTGTAGGGCAGTCTTTCAAAGAGCTAAGGACATCAGTCACATCACCCAGCTCCAGTGCTTTCTTAACAGATGTTACTCTGGTGGTCTGAAGTGGGCTGAGAATCTGCTCATGGGTGTGGTGGTTTTGAAGATGGAGTCTATGTTTTCGCTCTTGCTTCCAGGTAGCTTAAGACAACGTCCCTTCCAAATGGTGGCTAGAAGCCTCGCTATAAGGATCTTCAAGCTGCCTTACAAAAACTCTGACTGTCCTAAGCCTCTACTCTGTGAGGAAGCCTAAGCTACAGGGAAAAGCTCCAGTGGACAGTCCCAGCCTTCAGATCCCCCCAGCACAGGTGTTTAGCATGTGTGTGAAGAAGACTCTAGATGATTCCAGCCCCAGAAATCTGAGTGAGCCCCAGCCACTACAATCCTACCAAATGAAACTCTAGCCACTGAAGACAATGCACGCATCCTCACTATGCCCTGTCCAAATTCCTGACTCACAAGATCCTCGAGGGTAACAAAATGAATGTTATAAAATGAATGTCATTTTATACCATTGCATTTTGGGTTGCTTTTTCAAAGAGCAAGCAAGACTATATCCGAGATCCACTCCTAAATCACTCAGTCCTGGCCACTTCTGCCAAAGAATAATGTAAGTTCTAAATCCCTCTTATTCTTTAAACAAGGCTATTAAATTTATTAATCTTGCATTTAAAGCCAACTTCCTCCAGAGTACCAGGCAAAAGCAGAAATCTCATAAACTGCAGGAAGTAATACCGGAAACAGATAATGTATCAAAAACAGTGCCAAAAGGGTGCAGGCCCGCCTGCGCCAGACCTTACGGCTTTGCATCACCCCCCGCCCCAACACAAACTGCTGGTTTGAGCCCATTTATTCAGACAAGAGAGACTTTTAAATCCCGACTCCAACATCCAGTATTAATTTGTGCCATTTCCAGCCTTGTATATTTAGAGGGAGGGAAGCTAATATGGATGTGAAATCTTTTTTTTTTTTTTTCTTTTTTCTTTTTGGTTTTTCGAGACAGGGTTTCTCTGTGTAGCTTTGCGCCTTTCCTGGAACTCACTTGGTAGCCCAGGCTGGCCTCGAACTCACAGAGATCTGCCTGGCTCTGCCTCCCGAGTGCTGGGATTAAAGGCGTGCGCCACCACCGCCAGGCGGATGTGAAATTTTAATGCGCCCCACAGTCCACATGGAGGTGCAGGTAATACTTGCACCATAGAAGGGTGTTGAGAATTCCAAGTCAATGCTGGTTCCTCTGAGTTACTGAGAGGGGAGACAGACTGGATGAGGTTCGGACAGATCCACTACAAGTGAGCACTCCTAAATGAGTCAATCCACTCTTTCAATTTAATCACTGAACTAGCTTCACGAGTGAGCTCTCTAGGGGGAGTATCTCAGTCTCTCTGGGTTTAGTTTCAGCTCTTCCCAATTCCCTACACACTTAGAACAGGGCTCAACACACAAGATTTGTTAAATAAGTGAGCATAATTCTGGGAACGGTTCCCCATCAACCATAGGTTCTGAATCTCATCATCGGTCCAGGAAATCCATGCCATGCTGTCCTCTGACCCCTCCTCTCAGACAAGAGGCTCTGCTCCCAGAGGTGCAGAATAACAAAGACAACATATAAAGCACTGACCACCCCCTCGGCTATACCTATTTTCCATTTTCTAATTACCAAGATGTTTAACCTGTAACATGAATAGCCGCGTTAAAGCCATTTGTTATATGCAAAGCAGGGCCATGGCACATTGATAATTAAGGCCTCCCTCTGTGACAACCTACACGCTGGAGGTATAATTAAGTGTAAGTACCTCTTAGCTGGCTAGCCATTATTACTGGGCTTAAACATACATTCAGCCACTTATTAGTGAAATTCTATAGTGTCCTGAAGAACTGTTGTTTTAATAAATGGAGTAGGAGTTTTCCAGCCTGTGCCATGCTGGGTGGTGAATTGATGGTGTAGTTTTTTGGGGGTCTGCATAGCCTCCATTTTTGGTATGGAAAGCTCCCGATTTTGAACACTCTCAAGGTTGTAAGAACAGCCTCCTGGTGCTGTTTCCTGATTCACTTGGGCCATAGAAAATTGTCCTTTTTTATTGGATTTGTTGCTTAGAGTCTGTCTCTCTCTGCTCTATGCAAGACAAAGAACACCCATGGGCCCTCTTTCATATGCAGACCCTAAGAGTGGCAACTTAAAACCAGGCACACAGTATGCATTTTTTAAATGGCTTTGCTGTATCTCCAGCCCTGAGTTAGGGCTGTGTTGGAATAGCATGCCTGTGACTTGAATAAGTGTTGTATACAGGCATCTTAAAGTACTTAATAATCAGAGGGAGCAGGAGAATTAAGATGGCCGCAGAATGGAGATAGTTAACCCCCTCATGTCTTAATTGGGTTTCTCTTGGAGTATGGGAAACCTGAATTTCTGAAAAGGAGTGGAGACGTCCACATTGTCTTCTAAGATGGGCATTGTCTGCTTTCTCATCTCAGACCCTCAAGAGACAGCTCTAGAACTTTCTTGTTGGAGGGACTCTGCAGGTTACCAGGAAATGAAAAGAAATCGAAGCTGCTAGTGCATGGGCTGTACCTGTGTGTCCTTGAATCCACTGTACTCGGAGTGGCCTGGTGGAGGGAAAAGCCACAGAGAATATGATCCTGTTAAACCTGTTGAGGCCATCTCTTAGAAGAGCTGCTCTGGATCCTTGGCTGATGGAGGTGGAGATAATGGCCCGAATCACTGGTCTCTCAAGTTGTCTCTGCTCCTAGTTTCTGACACTCATGAGGCTCAGTCCACATCTGATGAAATAGTGTTGGTTCCCATGAATCAAGAGGGCACATTTTTCTTCCCCACCAGGCCATGACTATAGAAGTGACCTCTCTATTCTTTGACAGCCTGAGAGAAGAAAAGGCATTTGGGGACAAAGTTGACCATCTTACCAACCAAAGAAAGGCCACAGAGAAGTGACTTTGAGATTTCAGTTTAACAAGCACTGAAGCAGGGAAATACTCTTGATTCTGGAACCACAAAAATAAATAAGCTGGGCAGAGGAACTCATAGCTTCCAGGAGATGTAATGCATGTCTGAGATTTGCTCAGTATGAAACCCAAGCCCATCATATTTGTCAAACAACTGAATATTCCTAGATATTGCTCATACTAAACCAACCTCTAGCAACCTGAGAAATATGCGAAAGGCTTCTTTGTTGTGTAATATTTGTACACTGTGTGGAGGTGTATTGCTATGATTGGTATAATAAAAAGCTGAACAGCTAATAGCTAGGCAGGAAGTATAGGCAGAGAGAGAAAAGGAGAAGATGAATATGGGAGAGATTACAGAGATGCCAGGAGACAGGGAGGAAGCAGGGTGGGCAGCATGTGACAGAACATAGACTAACAGAAATGGGTTAATTTAAGTTATAAGAGCTAGTTAAAAATAAATCTAAGCTAAGGCCAAGCTTTCATAATTAATATGTTTCCCTGTCATTATTTGGAAACTGGCTGGTGGGACAGAAAAAGACTAGTTACACTACCTCATGAACATCGGAGTAGGCTGGAGGGGTGCATGAGAGACTCCTTGCCATCCCCAGGTCTTCTGCATTTGGGCAAGAAATTGCTTGTACTGCTGATAATATGTTATATATACTAGGCATGCAGGACCCATAGGAAGGTGACCACTGAACTTTGCAAGGCGAAATGGTTCTTCAGGTTCTTACTTCACAGAGGAGACAGATATTCTACAGGACACACGGAGAAGAGACTAAAAAACTCTAGGCCTATAGGCTGAAGATAGATGCCCCAACATTACAGAGGAACTTTGGGTGACTGTCCAGGCAGCCAGCTGCCTCTGTCATTCTAGATTTTTTGAAGTTGCTTACATTGCTCTTCCTGTTTACTTAGGTAATATTATATCCTTCTGGGGTCTTTGATGTAGCTGAAGACTAAATAGTTATAATTTTCCTTGGTTATGATAAAAGATAAATTAGATATGAAACTTTAGACTCACAAATACAGGGTAAATAGAATATTTTCTTTAATTTTGCCAAATACAAATAGACTAGATATTGTAATTATAATTCTTGCTGGATAACTGTTCTATATGTAATTTTACTGTGTTAAAGTTAAAACCTTCCGTTTTGATTAGACAGAAAAGGGGAAGTGCTGTGGAATATTATTCTGTATGCTGTGAATGTGTGTTGCTCTGATTGGTTGATAAATAAAACACTGATTAGCCAGTAGCCAGGCAAGAAGTATAGGTGTGGGAAGCAGATGAGGAGAATTTTGGGAAGAGGGAGGCTGAGTCAGGAGTTGCCAATTAGACACAGAGGAAGCAAAATGACAAGGCAGAACTGAGAAAAGGTACCAAGCCACGTGGTTAAACATAGATAAGAATTGTGGGTTAATTTAAGTGTAAGAGCTAGTCAGTAATAGCCAGAGCTAATGGCTGAGTAGTTTAAAGTAATATAAGCTTCTGAGTGGTTATTCTATAAGTGGGCCATGGGAATGCAGGGTCCTGGCAGGACCCGGGAAACATCCGACTATACTACTGGAGTATGTGAAGGGGTCAGATCTGCAAATCCAAAGCTACAGTATCTCCATGACACAGAATAACAACAGGATACCCAGGAGGAGTCCCAGTGAGGGCCCAGTAGGGTAGCAGAAGTCAGAGGCCTCAAGACAGATCAATGATCCATTGCAAAGAACACTTACAAGATGTAGGAAGTAAAGGGTATATTGTGTGACTTACTGGGTCACACCACTGCTGTGGATATTGCTCTATATAAATAAAACACTGATGGCCAGTGACCAGACAGGAAGTATAGGCAGGACAAGGAGAGAGGAGAATTGGGGAAACAGGAAGAAGGAGGGGGAGACACTGCAGCCACCGCCAGGACAAGCAGCATGTGAAGATGCTGGTAAGCCACAAGCGACGTGGCAAGGTATAGATTTATAGAAATGAGTTAATTTAAGATATAAGAACAGTTATCAAGAAGCCTGCCACGGCCATACAGTTTATAAGTGATATAAGCGTCTGAGTGATTATTTTATACTTGGACTGTGGGACTGTGGGGCTTGGTGGAACCTGGAGAGAAGCTCTCCAGCAACACACCACCACTTCCACGCCAAGACTTCCTTTTCTTCTTCTTGTTGTTTTGCTTTTAGGCTATACTTTTAAGTTTTGTTTTGTTTGGGGGTGGAAGCTTCAAGGGCAGAGGATGGAGGCGAGGGGATGGGGAGATGAGTGGGATCAGAATGCATGATGTGAAATCCACAAAGGACCAATAAAAAGTAAAAACAAACAAACAAACAAACAAAACAAACACACACACACAAAAAACCTTTCCAGTGCTAAGAAGTGAGTCACACACAGAGAGAGGAGGGGTAGGGTGAGAGGACACCCCAGAGCATGGTAGGCTCCGTTCAAAGAACTGTCAGCCCTCCCTTTGATCCTCATGACTCGGCCACACTCAGTCATATCTTCCTGACTTGACATATAACCGAGTTTCTTAATAATAACCTCTCTCATCAACTCAACAAACATTGGCTGCATGTCTGACACATAAGCTAGGTATACTGCTAGCCACTTGGAGGACATCTTTACCAGGAGTAGAGGCAAGTAAGCCATCCATTTCATGGACGAGAATGTAAGAGTTGGGGGAGATTCCCATGCTTGGGAAACACATGGAGGAGCCACTGGCCCACAGAGCGTGTGGCGTCAAACCTAAGCCATAGGAGGACACGCGCTCCAGGGAATTCACCGAGAAGAAGGCAAAGGTGAGAGACTATGGAGAAGGAAGGAACGCATTGACCCCCAAAGGAAGTCTTCTGTGTGAAGACTGCAAGCTGGGGAGAAATGAAAAGGCAGTGTGGCTCAGCTGCAGCTCCTTCCAGAGAAACCCCAGCATAGCTTACAATGGTACAGAAGCTGGGGGGATGAAAGGCGTAGACCCAGGAAGGATGGAGATGAAGGTGGGGCTTTCCGTGGAGCCAGGATGACCCTTTAAGAACTGCACACCCCAGCGATATGCATGTTTACGCCAAGGAAGTCACCGGCCTGACTTGGGACTTCCTAGATTCCCATCCTGTACAGATAAGCCAGGCACATTTGCAAATGGGATCTCCTCAAAGTAAGGGCAGCTCTGGGACCACAGGCGCCCTACAACTCAGGCCGGAGTGCACAGCACTGAGAATGCCCTGAGAGCATCCATTGGGTGAGATGGCCTGCCTGTCACCCCCAAAACATTTGCAGCGACAACAGCCCAGCCAGGGGTCACACAGCCTAACCCAGGGACCCCCTCTGGGTCCACGGATCCATTGCCAGGGAGGATGCTCAACTACTGGAAAGAACAGGAGAACTCTTTACCCATCCAAATAATTGCTCTGAAGCCAGCCTGCTAAGTTTGGAAGATATTAGTTGGGACTAAGTTGCAAGCTGAATTGCTACACAAACTTGGAATTCAGCTCTCTGTACTGTCAGTTAAATGCAGAGCTAAATGCATGAACATACAGTCAAGCTGGGATACAGTGGGTCTGGATGGAAAAGCCATCCAGACCATCTCCTTTCTCTTCCCCTTCTCTTCCTTTGAGACATACATCAACGCCACCCTCTCCAGGGAAGCTTTACGTTTTCCGAAGCAAAAATCACTGCTCCATCTGCCCGATGCTCATGTTTTACTCTTGTGAATACACTCACCACCCTGGGTCTGGTGCTCTGCACCCACAAGGTTTCCCTCCCCTCACGTGCCCAGTACAGCCCCCCTCTCACAGCCTCACCCAATGAAAGTAACAACTGGTAAGTTGTGATGTGGAAAAGACCCTGTTCCAAATCACACATGCCACACACCCCTCCATGTGGACTCAGGATATACAGAACGGTCTTTGATTTTCCTTTGTGCAATGGTTTATACTGCATCTTGGTGTGCATTTTTGGTGTGCGTGAGACCTTCTGTGACCTCCCCATCTACAATGTGAGGTCATGGGCAAAGGTGATATCCTTTAAGGAAACATAAGAGCAGATGCAACAAGGAACTGAGGGGGTGGGATGTAATGCAGGAAACAGCCTTGACCTCTGACCCTACTACACAGACTGACTGGATTAGAGATGCTTCTAAAGGCAATCAGGCCTGATATTATCATAAAACACAAAGGCTTACATTCCCTGTGGCCTGGATAAGTGATAAGAATTGTACAGGATTCCTTAAAAATAGCGGTCATGAGTTCTATCATTCAACCTTGCAGCGATATGGACTTTTTTATGATAATTTTATAAATGTAGTTAATAAGGCCCAGAGTAGTTAAATAAAACCTTCAGAGAATCCCAGTTAGTAAATTTCAGAACAAATACTCATCCTGAAACCTATCCGAGCACATATTGGATTAGGGTTCATTTTAAGGACTGCATTTTAACTCAGTTCCCTCTTCAAATATATTGTCTCCAAATGTAGTCACATGCAGAGATCTTGGGGTTAAATCCTGACATATGAATCTTGGGGCAGCACAACTATCCCATAGTGGAGGAAATCTGTATCTTTGGTCTAGAAGCGCTCTGTATTAAGTATTCTCGGTTGAAGACACGTTAGAGCACCCTCATCTACCTGTGAGTAGAAAAGTCACTTGATGGCAACATGGACCACAGTGGCTTTTGGGTTACATGTTTATTTTTACTTTGGAGGTTCCACAGTGCCTACCCATTCCTAGGGTCTCAGACTGCTCCCTTTGTGTGTACCGTGAAGAAGAATCGTATTTTCCAGGATTCTTCTCCACCACAGCTCAAGTCTAGGAAGGACAAAAGCATACAT